TTGAACTGCTGCAGGACTACACAGGGCACGCCGCTTCCCTTTCCTGATTCCCTGTTGGGTTTTCTCACCCCATATTTAAGCTTCATTAAACTTTGACCTCAAAATACAACGACCTCTACAGCACACTTTCAAAGACATGTGCTGGTTGGTCTAACAAGCACAGCTACAACTCTACACTGTATCATTTCCAAAAAGTCATAAGCACAGCAGGAAATATCCACAAAGTCCGTGTGTTTACAAATACCATATTCCATTCACATTCTGTGTGTGTCCCCTTCTGATGTTATCATGCCATTCAATGGCTCATTATCACTTGTTACCAAATCAAATCAAATTTTAATCGTATAGCGCCAAATCACAACAAAAGTCATCTCAGGACACTTTACAAAGTAAGGCCTAGACCTTACTGTTATCACTATTATTACAGAGGGAAAGCCCAGCAAATCCCCAGACTCTACCAGACTATAGTTATGGCTCAATAGGACCTTACTCCACCCACTAGTAAGCTCATTATGTCATGTTACAGTAATAAACACAGAGTATGCCAGTCTTACAAACAAAAAACTACTTGGCTAGAAAAGATTGGGTTAAAATAACTCTTCCTTAATATTATAGCACCTTCATCACCGTCGTTACAATTCCTAATTTCCTCTTTTCCTAATGCAATTACATATTTTTATGCAGCATCAAAATAATGTACCTAAGAGTTTATTTTGCTTTTCTGTTTCATTGTGAGAAGGTTTAAGATATGGATGCACTGAGTGAAAATCTACTATAAGACAGTTATGAGTATGTGTATGTTTGTGTGTATATGTGTACACATGAGTCAGGCTAGAGGTTAACAACTGTTTGATCCCTCCTACTTCCTGCACTACCATCACATGACCCTCATGACTGTGATGATGTCATATTGCTGGTGGTGATGTCACTGTATGCGGGTGACCACTTTCTCTCCGTAGTTGGTGGATTGTACTGTTTCTAATCTCTCATCTCTGCTCTCTTATGTCTCCTTCCCTTCCTCTTTCTCCCACCTCTCCTTCTGCCTTTGTGTACCCCTCCTCTCTTTCCTCCTGTTTTATCCGCTCTCTTCCCTCTGTATCTTTAACCCCTGCATCCCCCTTTCCCCTCTCTGTGTCTTGTTTTCCCTCCATCAGGTGTCCTAATGACTATACGGGGGACCGCTGTCAAAACTCCGTAATGGCCGGTTTCTACAGTATGTCCATTTGCCTGCCCTTAGGTTTCATGTAAATTAATGTGTGTGCATCTGTGGGCGTGAGCTTGCATGCGCCTTTGTCCACCTCTTCCTCTCCCTGTCTCGCCTGATTCCTCTGTGGTGCTCCTCTGGTAACCAGAAACAACCAATGTAGATATTTGATCATAATTTACTGTGTACGTACTAGCTCACCTGCTTGACATCACATGACGTAGAACACTTCCACAAAAGCCCCAGAGCTGGCAGCTTACCACTTGATAACGTTGTGTCTGAGATTACATTTTACAGTTGTGTATTTTTGCTGTAAATCGCACATACTTCTGTTGCAGCTTGATCCAGAGAAGTGCACAAAAAGAAACAGAGGAGACAGGGAATTAATACAGTAAGCGATCCAGGAAGTTAAAGTTATTTGCTTTTATTGCACACTTTTTCACTTTTCTTTGTAGATGGTCCATAGATGTTGTTTGTTTTTCTAGCAGTAAAAAATTATCAAGGCAGAACTATGTGGAAAAAATATTATTAAAGCAAAGAGAAAAAAAATCTTGCATTGATTTTACTTTTAGAGTAGAGGCAGGGCTGACAGTTAGGGGCTTTACACGGAGAACAATGTAAGTCCTTCTGACATTGTTTTGAACAGCTGCCAGTCATTACTAAAAGCCACAGCATGTTGAAAATCCACTGAATTTGGCAAGTGAATGGAAATAAGATTGAGAGGTAGAGTGTGTTCAACATTTCACGTCTTAAAGTCACGAGATCACGGTTTTTCATCTGAGGGTCACTACCTTTGGGATATTGATCCTCATATAAATTAAGCTTCTTCAGATCAGGATAAAACCCACAGTGGTGAAGGTCGCAATCTGTTTTCACTCTGAGCATCCATGGATCATCTGATAAATTCTCTCATTATGACATGTGGTTTTAGGGTTGACTTCTAATATGTAAAAAAAAAATGGTGTTATGTGTTTTGCTTCTCATCACCATGGTGATGAATTAAAGGAATAGTTTGACATTTTTGTTTGCTTTTGTTAGTATGTTGACCATGAAACAGTAACAAGGAATTGGTTAGTTTAGCATAGTGGAAACAGCTACTGTGGCCCGGCAACAAAACAAAGCTAAATCAACATATTATATCTAGTTTGTTTCACTGACGCTAAATTGTAAACTAAAATGTTCCTGTTATGTTGTTAGCCTGAGGTTATTTGGCAACAAATGTTGCTGGAAGGCAGATACTTTTTTGTTTTTGAGAGAATTTTTTTCTTTATTGTCGGTCAGGCTAGCTGTTTCCCCCAGATTTTAGTCTTCATGCTAAGCTAAGCTAACAGTCTCCTGCCTCTAGCTTCATATTTAGTGGAAGCGGCAACCCCTGAGGCTAAGAAATGAAGTCATGCAGAAGTAAAGTCTGCAGTTCCTTGAATGGCGACTTGAGGCTGGATCCAAAAGGGAGTCAGTCCCCATAGACTCCCATGTCAAAATGCCCAACTTTACAGCAGAAATAAAGCATGTTTACAGCCTGGTACAAAAAATAGTTTTAGTCTACATCTGTATGGGGTGAATTTTTATATAACTTGTCCATTTAAATTATCCTGAAGCTAAAATGTATGCACAATCAAGGAAGTGGCCACCTTGAGAAACAGGCAGGTAGATCCTGCCATAAGTGGCCATTAGCAATCTAGATAGCTCCACTCACACTCCACCTCTTTGCCCATTTTTGGATTAGCCATAGCAGGCAGAGTGAAGCACTACAAAGATGGTGACGACCAGACTTGAGTTTCAAAACTGCTCTTCAGAAAACCAGTGGGTGACGTCACAGAGGCTTCATGCATCTTTCATATACAGTCAGTGATTTAGTGTATAGACATGACAGCGCTATCCGTCCTCTCTTCTAGCTCTTGGCAAGAAAGCAAATATGCAGGTTTTCTAAAATGTCTAACTATTCCTTTTTAGCTGTAGGAATACAAAATGTTTTGTCATCCTCCTGTGATTGCATGGGCAGTGGCACTGAAACAAATTTAGTCACTACACAGTCAGATGATAAGCAAATATCCGAGGACACATGCATCAAAATGTAGCACTGCACAGATGTTTCAGAAACTCCCATTTGATTGGCTCTACTACTTTTTCTTTTTATACTGAAAGATAAAAATGCTTGCTCCAATGACAGTGTCATGCTCAAGTTACTGTCCTGGCAGTCACAAAGAGATAAAACAGAGGGATGAAAATGACTCTCTAGTTCTTGTTTCCAGGGGTTAAAACACTGTTGCTTCATCTCATGCTGTCTTGTCTCCACGCAGAATAATGCCACTTTTACACCAAGTACAGGTTTCAAATTCTCAGACATCATCATGCTAATGTAATGTCTGCTTATGTTTGACCCCATCATTCAGCCTTGTGTACTTGCAGAAATCTGTCTGTGTGACAATGTGCTTTTATGTTGCCCTCTGATGCTCTCTCAGTCAGAAGAAATGCCTTCTGTTGTTCTGAATCTATGGTGATTTGTGACTGCCTGCTTTTCTAATGGTATGAACATAAAGCACTGTCAACATATAGAGCAGCTGAGGGTAGGGTGGACAGGAGATTGGCTGACTTTTCTTCTCCTCATGGCCAGTAATGCATGCAAAGCCACGGAAAGTGGGAATGCTGAGATGATTTCTCTGTAAATCATATGAAAGCTTATAATAGCTGTACGCAGCAGTAGTGGGACAAAGCGCAGTACAAGAGGTATGTCGTAATCAATACAGAGGCACACAGTTGCCATTAGTCAAACGAGTTACAGCACCCACCCCCATTTGCTGTGCCAGCTTCATCGACTCTACTGTGTTTTTATGTTGGAAAGTAACTCACTGCTTTTTATCCTTTGTTTTCTTGTTTTTGTTTTTCCTTTCTTTTTGTCTTGTGTTTTTCATTTTGTATTTCTGTCCAATGTTGTTTACTCCAGAAATGAGGTGTAGTAAATATAGCAGTAAGTGATATGGCTTCTTGTCTTGATGTCTTTGTCTCAGTCTCTGTCTGTGCATGGCTCTTCCTGCCTGTTGGCTTCTCTTTCCTTCTGCCTTTTGGTTAATTTTATCCCTTTGCTTTCGATTCCGTTTGATTTGGTTTGGTTTTGCTTTTTTTTCCCTGTCATTTCTTGGGGTCACAGAGCTGAGGCTGTCTGAGTTGTCTGTCTGTTACTGGACGGTACACCTGTCAATCACTATGACTGACAACACTGCTGAAATTATATCCTGGTTCAGCGTATACAAGACATGAAATAATATATCTGCTCCAAAGTGGACTTTACACCTGACCCTATGTGTCTCTTTCCTTTTACCACGACAACTTTGTGTGCTGGCAGAGCTTCTCAGAATTGAATTTACGGGTATGAAACATTATTATTCATTTTGCTGTGCTTAAAGGGTTTGCCAAGATCTTCCCACAGTCACACATTCTCGTGCCATCTTCCCTCTAAAACCAAAAACTGGGTCTCTCTCAACCTGTCCTGCTTTTGCTCCTGCTACTAACCTGGTTGTAAGACATGTAACCTCCCCTCCTTGCATGCATTCTTCTTATAGTCTGACAAATTTGGAAAAATACTGTAAATCTTGAGTAAAAAACAAATGAACTGAGAAGGATACATTAATGAAACAAAGTGCAGACAGAGGTGAATTAAATTACAATGTAATGGGCCTTGATACAAATCAAAGTTGTCTTTATTTGTGCAGCATATCAGAGCAAAAGCTGCCTTGCTTGTCCAAAAATCAGGAAATGTTTTGCATCACATCAAGTATCTGGCTGGTCCTCTGGGCTTTGGCAATGTGTGTATTGGCTTCAGCAGCATATCGAATAAAAACATGCAAGCTGCGAGTATTTTTGCAAAGCACTGCCAAAAGCCAGCAAAAAGCCTGACCACATAGTCTATCCTTATTTTTCTGCACTTGACTGACTCAATGTCAGAGTTGAGAGCTCGCTTGTCCTAAACCACGATTGCTGTTGGCCCCGCTGTGCTGGCGAGCTCGCCTTTCCATTTCCCTTTGCCTTTCCCTATCAGTACCCCATGACACACACACAATGCCAGGCCAAGGCTCTCGTAGGCTTGTCAATCCCTACAGAGGCCCTTTATTTAGAAACTCTCCCCTTCCCCTTCATCGACCCCCTTCCCTCCCCTTCAGTGGCATGTCTAGAGCTTTTTGTGGGAGGGCAGAGGGGTAAAGGTGAGATAATGAGTTAGGTAAAGTTTTTAATCTATCTGCCCCCTGTTTTAAACTGCTCAGATTTCAAGAAGTGTTATTAATGGATTCTGATGTATTCTGCCTCATTTTTAATTAACCTTCTTCCATAAGAGCCACAGATAGATAGTTTTCTCCTACAGCTTGTTCGTAGGTGTTGCTGTAGTCCAAATTAAGAGGAAACACTGAAAGTAACAAATATTTGTGTTTGAGAAGGTATATGACATTGAAAAGCTCTTATTAGCCTGTAAGGTCTTGAATTCTGCCATAACTGATAATCCAAGGACTTCTATAATCCAGTTTTAGTTGATAAGGGGACAGTGAGGCCAGTCTGTGGTTTTAGGGGACTAGTTTCTCCCCAGGCCTTTCTTCTGGACACATCCCTGCTCCCCTCTCAGCCCCCATCCTCTCCCTCTATCTCCACATTTCCTCCTGCTCCTCCTTCCCTGCCACCTTGCTTTCTCTCCTTTTATTCTTTTCCTCTTCCCCTCATGTTGTTCTGTCTGTTGCTCCCTCTGACATTGTGTCTTTGTGCTTGTTGTTCTGAAACAGAATGTTAGACCACAGCAGGCCCAACATCTGACTACACCGAGATGGCGTAGTATTCACACAGCATCCCCACAAATCTGTCAGAACTTAATGAGCTTAATGTGGTGAAGTGTAATGCAGTCCAAGTCTTTCTTGAGTTGTGTTCAAAGATGTTCTCATTAGCACAATAAAGTACTATAACCATCCTGACCCTGTCCCCACAAGTGCTTTCTAAACATATCTCAAATCTCCCAGAAACATATCAGAACAATTCCAAATAACAAGCAGTAGACTCTATATGAAAGTAATTTTATGGTGCAATAATGACATAATAACTTACTAATTGCCACTGATGGAAGCTAATATTTGTCTCCAAATTTAGGGCACTATGACCCATTTGTGCAAGTAAAACAACTTTGATTTAGGTAAAGGGTCAATGACAGGAAACTAAAACCAGTTTAGATGACCACAATATTGTTTACAAAGTAACTTAACAGTCCATGAAAATCTTGTATTTGTGGATGTCCAGTGGTTTAGCTTTAACTCACACTGCTGCGGTGATACACATACTCCAGGGCTCTGTGACCACACTGTTGGGTGCGGTTAATGGTGCAATAGAGGGCACCACAACATAGTGTCTCAGCCTTCCATTACGTTTATGTGTAATTTAAAAACAAACAAGGCTTAGAGATTAATGAAGTTTGCATTTGACCAAAAAAAATGAACATTTCAGTCACTTACAAAAGGATTTCCAATATGGCCGCCACATCACGTGAGAGCCTCACATAGGCTTCTGTGAGTAAATGAAATGAATAGCATACAAAAATACCTGTTCATAACACTATGGGAGCTTATTAAAATCAAATATGATAGTTACAATAATTAAGGGCAAAACTTTAATTAAAATACAACCAAAACCTTTCCTGCATTGTTCTTTAAAATCTGGCACAGTGATGGTAAGCTTTGTGAATACCAGACCTTTATTACTTCCAAGCCACTGTGGTGCTAACACTTTGAACAAACTTTTTTTTTTTTTTATCTGGACGACTTATCATTTTTTGTTCCATCCATACAGGCATGTTGCATTAAGAGCCCAACCACCCGTAGCATTACATCCCCATGGCCACTGTAAATACTGGACACTTGTACAGGGACAGCAGGAAGTGTGTCAGGATGTAGGTTTACATCTCTGCATTTCAGCCTAATATTTATGAGCTTGTAGAATTACTGCTCTATTGGTAGCAGCGCTGTGTTACTGTAGTACAGTTACAACTGAAAGCCATGTGACATGATAGAGCTGAAAGAGATGTATAGACAGCACAGGGGACAGGATGGCAGCAGGTGACAGTGAGAAAACTGTTTCTGTAGTTAGCATCCATAGAGGAGCACTCATGCTGTATGTGTGTGCGTGTGTGTGTGTGTGTTTATGTATGTCTGTCCTGTATGTTTGCAATTCATGAATGTATGTATGCATGTGAATGCGTCTGTGTTTGTACATGCGTGTGCTTCCATCCACAGAGGCTGAGGAGCTCTACCAAAGGCGAGTGCTGACGATCACAGGCATCTGTGTGGCGTTGCTGGTGGTTGGCATCATTTGTGTGGTGGCCTACTGCAAAACAAAGTACGTTTCTCTGAAGGAAACATAAGTGACTGCATTTTAAAAAGGGCCTTAATTAACCCATGTAAAAAAAAATTGAAAAGTTAGTAATGAGCTGCTTCTTTTTAAGCTGTAGATCAGATTCTAACACAATTACAACCACTATAAAAAATACAAAGCACAAAATGTACTTAAAGTATCCAAAGTAAAAGTCCTTGTTCTGCAGAAAACATCCCCTCTGGATGAAACTGTAAATGATATACTACATCATTAGATGGTTACATCAAACATGGCATCTTACTGTTGTGGCTGGTCGAGGTTTGACCTGTTTGAGTTTAGTGGTTTAGTTCAGTGGGTCCCAGTCTAGAGACCTCTCCTAGGGGTCACAAGATAGATCTGAGATGATTAATGAGGGAGGAGAGAAAAAAGCAAAGTTCTGCTATACAGCTTTATTTCTCCAGTCTTTTGTGTTTTATGAAGTATCTGATGACATGACCCCTTAGACCTCAAACAGTTATTTAAGTGAAACCATCTGAAAAGTTTAGAGAGGAAATGTCTCTCTGGTGGAACTGCTAACAACTCACTGCTTTTTAATAAGGGGTCACAGGCCAGATATGTTGTAAATCACTAGTTTAATCCTTAACAATATATCACATGTTTATTAACTGATACCAGCAATTATATAGAGTAGCAAAACAAGATCTCAGTCACTGTCTCTAGATTAGCACTTTTGCCAGATTATGTATTGTTCCTTCATCACCACCACCTGTCCAGGAAGCAGAGGAAGAAGATGCAGAGCCACCTACATCAGAACCAGAATCAGTGCTTGGAGCAGCCCAACCGCATGCTGGCCAATGGGCCCAACCACCCCGGGCCAGGTCCTGAGGAGATCCCCATGGTTGATGTGAGTCCAGACAGTAGAAGCAGGTGGAGGTGATCCTAAGGTCAGGTTTAACTGGTCAACTGGAAGTAAAGTCTCACTGAGGTCACTCCCTTACAACTTTGTACTTTACTACACTAGTTGGAAGGGAGCTTGGGATTTTCTCAGAGCTGCTCTGAGGTCGAAATAAATATGTTGTGCAAAAATAGAACAGAATTAACTGGCCGGATGTAAAAATAAGAAAAAATTACTCATTTAGTGGCAAAAGGGATTGGTTTTACGGTGTCTAACTTTCTTTCATTTTAAGCTTTTTTTAAAATTATTATTATTAGAGATGCTGGTCAAGCATAAAATTGGTACCAGGGGCACTAGAGGCATTTTTGGCATCTGTGTTTTCGCTTCTGTTTTATGTCTGGTAGCCAACAATAACAATATGACGGTACAACAATAGCAATTAATATACCGTTATCTATCGGCTACCAGAATGCACAGAAGTCATTGACCTTGGTTTTCTGTCAAAGTGCTGCTGAAATTAAGCCAAATATATCCATGGTTTTAATTAAATATAACTGTCCTATAAATAGCATTTTGATGTCAAAAGGCTCAGAATACCCTCACATATTCATTAATGCTAAACCAGGGACTGAAGGAGAAAAAGAAATGAGGACTTGATGTAAACTGCAGCCCACTGAGCCTGTTCACGTCTCTTTAGGTGATAGACTTTATTTAGCTTTAGCACTTAACTCCACCAAGACATTTCTTTTAGCCTTCAGAACAATTTTGCCTCTTTAAGAATCTTTGTGTAAATAATCTGATCCACTGACACATAGAGAAATATGGTGGCATATCGCTGACAGATGTTGAAGAGACAGCAGATAACACCTACCATCCTGCTGGAGACATAATAGGAATGAGTCAGCATTATAGCAACAATGAAAACAGCAAAGAGGGAAAACTGATGAGCACTTGCAACAGATAGAGTATGCACAAAGAATCCTCACATATTTAGATGTCAAATTATAATATTTTGTTCATATTTATTATCTGTGTTATTTTGAAAATAAGCAAAGTATAATACACATAATAAAGTATTAAAAGATCTTTCTGTTTGTGTTTACTGCAGTACATCTCCAAAAGCGTCCCTACGACTGAGTGTGTGATCAGCCACGGAGCTGAGGGTGCAGGCAACTATGCTGGTAGCCGAATGTCAACCCGCTCGCACCACTCCACCACTGCCTCACATGCTTCCAGGTAGACCTAACACACACACACAGACACACATGAAAGTCAGCAGGATCTTACAGAGTCAGGTTGGTTTGGTGATGGGAGATATCTCACAAATGCTAAACAGGTTTTTGAAAACTTCCAGTGAGGTGAGAAAATTGTATTTGTTTAGAAAATGTGGTGCAGTGTAGCACATAATTATGCAAATGTTAAGATGATCTGAGTCAAAGGGAGACAACATCTGGAATCACAGTTTCACCACAGAGACAGATCTGTCCATTGTTTTACAACATGTAACATCTGGATGATGTGGTATGAAAGTTCACCACCAGAGAGAAGAAGAAGAAGCTGCACTCCAAATGTAGCCTGTGATGGCAGCTGTGTGTGTGGCAGTGGCTACTGACTTGGCTGTAGCTATAGCTTTCACTAAAGGGCTGTAATTCCCACTGTATATATATGTATATGTACAGATGTGTTACAAGAAACCATATGAGTTCTGGAACAGCGTCACTAAAAATGTTTAGCTAGCTCAACCATGTCAGTTCACACTGGTAAATAGGTTAGTGTTAACCATTAAATGTCTGTGTATCACAGCCCTGCTAATCTTAACAGTCACAGCTATAGCTACAGCCACAGCCTGTTAGAGTCACATACAGCATTGTTGACCTTTTCAGTAAAATGTATACTACAACATTGATACAGCTACTATTACATCTATCTAAATACATTTACTATTAGGTTGACATGTCTGCTAAATTGTCATTAAACCTTTACCTGATACATGCCAGCTGCTGCTACTGTGTGACTAACCTGCACCCATCCCTACGGCCAGGGAGAGCCAGCCTGTAGCCTGCTACAGTTGGAACAATGCTCTCCTGGGTTGTTTTTTTTTACTCCCCCACCTTTAATACACATTCAACAAACACAGAAAAACATGAGCAACCAGTTTTGACACTTGATCTCTGGTTTGGTACACCAGCTGTTGAGGAATTTATCTGTGTACGTTTGGTTTGTTGATGCTCGACTGTCTTCATCAGCCACTGCACCGGTCTTGTCGAATCAGATTATATAGACCTGCACAGCTGGCTATACATTGTCAATGGGATCCGCAGTACCACCAGCTCTGCTTCATGACAGAGTGATTTAATTCAATGCTTTCATCTAAATGTAGCCACAAAATGTTCTCAATATATACAAATTTCAGTACAACATATCAAGTACTGATCCAAGACCAGCGCTTCCTTTTGCTCAAATGTGAAATCTTTATCCTCACTAGTTATTTTTATGTAACATACCATAAGGCCATGGGTTGCTTTGGTTTTAAAACCTGGGTCAGTGGCCTGCTGTGGCTGAATGATGAAAATGTGTTCAATATGGATCAGTTGCATCATGTGTAATATACGAGCTGTTAACATGGTCAGCATCGTTGCCTGTAAGGGCTGCACTTGGCTGGATCGTACATCTCTATCAAAATTATCATTTGATGGTACTTTACAGCTCTTCGTTCTACAATGCCATGTCAACACTTTTGTTGTATAGTCTCTCTACCCAGCGTTCATTCCTCATGTGTCTCCTTCCATCCCTGTGCTGTTGTAACCTTTTACACTTTTTCTAACAGACACGAGGAGCAGACGTGGAGCATGGAGCGAACGGAGAGTATGAACTCAGACTGCCAGTCAGGTGGCCTGTCCAGCTCTGTGGGAACCAGTAAGTGCAGCAGCCCGGCTTGCATGGCGAGGAGGGCCGCCCACTGGGGCTGTACAGACATGTCCAGACCAGCGCTGCATTATGGGGACTCCTATGACTCTCTAAGAGACTCACCTCACAGTGACAGGTAAGGGAGGGGTTACCGTGTGTGTGGTGAGGGAGGGGTAAGCTCTTCCTCTGTGCTAGCTCATGACTTGACAACACTTTTGCTTCTTTCTGATCTTTGTCACACCAGGCCCCTTTACTATTTGGTGACCCCTAGTGGCAGTTAATTGTTATGACTTGTAATGTGTGAAAGACTTCCTCACTCAAATACTTTTAACTGTTTATGAGACTTTATAAATTATTGCTAATTATTGCACCCACTGATTACTGCCCAATCTATTTTGACTGCTGTAAATAACTTTCGTGGTTTCCTACATGTCCCAGAATGCCGTCTCATTTTCCCTAATAACAGGCTTGACATTTGTGTATTTAGCCATGACTGTATTACCTGTGTGCACTACAGCAGTGCAGTTTTTTTTGTATTGACATGGATAATTTCTTGATTTTGTTTCACTTTAGCATAAAGCATGAAGAAGTGATTTTGGCCCATCCTATATAGAAAGTGACTTGTCTGTAAATATAAAAGCGGTCACCATTGTGTCTCTCTATAGGGCAGATTGTAATGCTCTAAATATGGACTCTACAGTAAGCATAAATAATTTAGGATCATTTTTATGATAAGTTGACTTCTGTTTCAGGATCTGGGATCTCTGCTGTGGTACAATTACATTAACAACAGAGCTAAGCTCACTGAGCTACAGCAGTTATGTCCTGTAGCTGTGATGCCACTTGTGTAGTGATGTAGCTGAGACTGTGACTGAGTAGGTGGATCAGCATTTCACATTGTCACTTCAGGGCCAAAGGGTTCTGCATGTGAATCTGAGCCGATTGGCTGCAGTGTTTCTGTTTGCTCCCACAGTTCAAAGACATGCAGGTTTAAACTGCTTGCAGGTGTTTTCTCTGAGTGTACCCCTCCTGCTGCCCAGTGCATGCTGGGTAGGCTCCAGCCTCCTGGCACTGAAGAGGACAAGTGGTTTAGAAAACAGATGGATGGGTCTCACTGCCAGAGTGTCTGATACTGACTAGCTACTGCTATCAGTCAAGTGTCAAATCAAGTGTGTCTGCATCAGAGAAGTGCATCCCATCTGCCACTGTGGAATCCCACTGATTTATTTCATGTGTACAGTAAGGTCACTGGAGCCAAATTGAAATACATATGAAAAGCACATTTATAGCTACTTATAAGGTAGAGAGTGAATTCTTTATCCTCATACTCACCAACATCAGGTTTACTTTCTCATCCTTAAGCAGCACAAAGCAGCACAGTAGGTAAGCAGTAATCTGAGTGTATCTGGTCATACCGATTCATTCTTTGTTACTAATGTGGCAAAATGGGCGCCAGATTTGGTGGACTTTGGTCTAAATCATGACACTATAATAATCTGTTGTCCTCTTTTCCATCAAGGTACGTGTCGGCACTGACCACACCAGCGCGTCTGTCTCCGGTAGAGTTCCACTATCCTCCTCTGCCACCCCAGGTGCCCACCTTCCAAATCACCTTGCCCAACACAAGTCATGCCCTCTCCCTTCCTCCGGCTGCTGCTGCCTACCACAGCGATGATGACCAGCCACTGCTACGATGCCCTGATGTACGTCTGCAAATACAATATATACATACAAATTGCTGTTGGGTATGTGTAGAGCAGCAAGGTGATGGTGACACATATTAACAGGTGGGGGTGGCAATATTCAAAATTTTTTATGAAAAGACCAAAACCAGACCAATCCATCTCTTAATGTTTTGCAGCTTCCCTAACCTGTCTGTTGCATGCAGCCTTGAGTCAAAATATTATTTAAGACATAATATACTTTTTGAAAAGCTAAATATTTTTGTCAGACAGCTGGGCATTGTAGTTTTTAGTCAGAGTGCCCATGGCATGCTCATTTCCAGGCATTTAATGTTTAATCTTGGGTTCCTCTAGATGAGCTTTGCACCCATCATAACCAACAAATACTCTGTAGTTATTTCAGAACAGTTAAACCAGAGAGCCTCTTCCTAAAAGTAAGAGGATAGTTTGTGAATATGCACACCTCTTGCTGCCAGTCAAGATGCTATGACATGCATAAACAAAAAATACTGACAAATAAGCTACATTTTTGACAATGACAATACCAGTCCAGTTGATTTTTTCTAAATTTTTTAAGTTTACTATAATCTGGATGACTGGGAACCTGCACAGACAAATTCCAATAGGTAGCTTAGCACCAACAATAACATCATAGATCATTGGAATCCTCTCGCCAACCTGCAACACATCACAAAATAAAGAGGTACTGTGCTCCAGAGGAATCCAGCTACACATCCTCTTGTCATAGTGCAGCAGCAGGAGGGAAAATATATCCACAAAACCCGGCACAGTTAAAAGATTCCGCTGTTAAAATGGCACGACACAGTGAGTCCCTGTACATGAACGTTCCTGGATGTGCAGTAACCTCAGGCCCTGTATTTTTTTACACATCCTCTTGTCATAGCGCAGCAGCAGGAGGGAAAATATATCCACAAAACCCGGCACAGTTAAAAGATTCCGCTGTTAAAATGGCACTGTGGATAACAGTCAAGCTCACACGAACGCACAATTGCCTGGAGATTGTGACCATTCAAAAAAATCAATGAACTCTATTACATAAGATTTTACTTTATTGGAAAAAAAGTTTCACCAGATTTCACAAGACTTGTTTAAACCAAGTTGCTTCTGCATAGAAATACAACAACATAGGTACACCTCGTTTTATGAGCTTTCAGTAACATTTAGGATGATAATTCACCATTGTAACATTGTAGATAAGTCAGAAAACACATAAAAGCATGCCATGGGCCCTTTAATGTTCATCAAACTAAAGTAAATACTGCCTTTGTTGTCCAGTTCAACAGGGCAGCTCACCATATGTATTTTTAACAGTTTTTGAACAATGGGGATCTAGGGTACAGGGGAATAACATACTCTCTGTCAAGCAAAAGTTCCTATATCTATCCGGCTTATCCTGGGCAGCCATCACTGAGCAAGACAGTTCAACACTGCTATGTTGAATCCACCCTGCTGAAGTTCCTTTGAGCAAACCCCTGACCAACATACATATTCATCATGCATACAGTTTAGTGCAGTGGTGTAGAGTTTAACAATTGCTTCACTGTTTTCCATTTCAGGACAGAAGTTTGTACAGGCAGCCCCGACGTCCCCGGCGACCCTATCTGATGGAGAGCACAGGAAGTCTACCGTCCAGCCCCTACCATCTCCCTGATGATGAGGCCTACGAGACCACGCAGGAGTACGCCTCATCACGGGAACCCATCCGTAGCCGGCGTCGCTCACGACGCAACCGCCTCAACGGACACATCTCCCAGCGGTGCCTACGGGACTACAGCTCACAGAGCTTCAGCCAGTCAGAGGAGGAAGAGGAGGAGGAAGAGGATGCTCATGGGGAGAGCACACCTTTCCTTAGTATGCAGAACATGAATGTGGACCCGCCCTTAACCATCCCGGGTTTCCGTTTGTCATCTGGTACAGACACACGGACTCACCGCGGGCTGAGTCGGCCGGGAACGCGCAGCAATGGGCAGAGCCGTGGCTCCCAGTCACAGCGCTCCAAGGCTGACAATATGCCCCTTTAAGACTTAACCCACCCCCAACACCCACCTATACACCCCTGCCACACCCACCCCCACCCACAGTGCTTCACACAACCTGTGGACTAGAGACCTGCACCTAGGAGAAATACTTTTATTTTGTATAACAGACAGATATTCTAAACAAATGAAATATTTATTTTCATTTCAGCAAAAATTGTCTACTAGCTAACAGCAAAGACTTTTTTTTATAACGGGGGGAAATATTTATATGTAAAGTTTTTTGGTTTACAGCATTATGAGAAATGAAAAAATACGAGAATTATGTGCCAATTTTTTCACGAGTTAGATAAATAGAATAATATTGTGGTGCCTTTTGCTGTATGCTGAAGTTGGAGGTCCCATTGAGTTTTTGTAGCCTTTCTTATAAAGACTCCTCATTTTTATAGAGACCAACCCTCTTCCTTCCTTTTGCTTTGTTTTTTTCTCTCTCTGATTTGGGATCTTCCTCTTTGAACTGTGATCTGATTATGTCATCATGCAATATTGATTCCTCCTGTGTAAAAGGTGTCTGTTTACATGAGTATGATCCATGTGATTCGCTTGTTTCACAGGGACATTTAGCCACTGAGACAACCAGATGTGTAGGGTAGTTTTCTCTGATGATGTTTGGGTGAATCTTTCCAGATGAACACATGTCGGTCATTTATGTCCTTGTTCGCAACCTGTCAGTCATGTGTTGTTATTTCTGTGAAAACAAGAGTGTTAGGGAGTTGTTTGGGGAAAAGTGACTCCAGATTCCTGTGTAGTTGTTCAGGGTGCTGCCATGGCATTGATGGTGGTTGCAGTGTGTGTGTAGGTGTGTGTGTGTGCATGCCTGTGTGTACCTCATGAAGCCTCATTTGGTTGGCACCTTCATTCACCTTGGAGGTTGTGGTTTCTTGTTTGACTGACATGCTCCTCACACCAATTCTCACGCTGCCAGAAGCTCCATTGCACTGTAAGAACCCCTCCCCCCTCTGTAAGCAGTCATTGGCCAGGGAGCTGCCAATCCAAACCGAACCTAACAATCCAGTTGTAATCCAGCCTGACTCTGGCCTCCTGTGGACTGCCCAGCCCGCCCGTTTCCTATGCCAGCAGCTTAGAGCCGCACTGTGTCTCAGGACTTCCTCATCACATCACAGCCAAAAGACTCAAAGAAGAGAGAGCATGTCATCTCAGTCACAGTTCAGTCCGCAGGCCAGATCCACACCCCCTCACTCTCCTTCCATCAGGCGTTGTGTTGCCTCATGGACATGGCGAAGGGAGTGTGGGTAAATGCTCGTGGAATCAGAGGGGAGATTCAGTTGTTTTTATTTCCTTCTTATTTCAGACGGTGGGCATGTGTGTAGCTGTGCGTGGGTCACAATGATGATGAAAAACCAATGTTGTGTGGAGACCACATCTGTTTGCCCTGACGCAGGGGTGCAGCTAGGAATTCTGAGCCCCCTGAGAGGAGGATATCACTCTGGGTCCCCTCCTTATCTTTTGTTAACTGGAATGAGGCCACTCCAGCTGTGGGCCTCTAGAATCGCCACCACTTTTCACACCATTAGCAATCGTGCTGCTCTGATGGGGAAAATAGCCTGTGTGTCACTGCGTGCAGGTTCACACTGCTAGAGAGCAAGTATCTGAGTTTGATTCTACTCTTTTTTTTTTTTTTTTTTTAGCTCACAGCCAAACTGTGATATATGATAATTCTGATTATTGCATCCTTGTTTTGCATTTCTATATCTTTATTGATTGAACTTCTTTTGCCTGGTCATATTAACTGAACGATCTATGTCTACCTGTTTGCCTCCTCCACCTCACATCACCCCTCACCTTCATGTTTTTCTCACCCCTTTACTGACCTTCAGAAACAACTAGTGGATGAATTTAGGCCCCATCTCTGGACAAGTGTGCATTTCAGCATACTAATAGTAGGCTGATCATGTGGGTTTTAGAGACCCTTTCAAGCTCACTGAGGGAAATTATACTCTGTCCCTAATAGAGTTATGATCTGTAGAGTTTATTTATTTATGTTTTGTTTTCTTGTTTCACACAGGAGATGCATGGTTCACTGATAAGGAAATTATTTTAAAAATGACAAAGAGCCCCACAGATTGGGGGGAATCGTAATAGAAATATATTAAAACATTATTTGGGTCCATGGCCCAAAGGTCTGGCTAGTTTTGTCTTACTATCACTGTAATCAATCTGGGATTTACAATGTGGAAATACTGCAAGCGAGGGTAGTGTGCTTGTAGAGCTAGTTGAATTGTTAACAGACCCCCACCCTCTTTCTCCTCACCCTGCACTCTCCTTTTCCCAATTACATACACAAACACATTTCACACATACATACCGACATCGTACATAATGAAGCACACACTGAGACATGCACGCACAAACACATGTTTGTGTTTGTCAAGCAGTTTGCCTTTTACCTACCCACCCTCTTGCCCCCTCCTCCATCCTCTTATCTCACCCCTAACCCCCCCTGCATGTCCTAGTGGTACTGGTAGTTGGGTGCATGGAAAAAGCAGCAAGCAAATCGTTTTTCCATTCGGTGAAAAAATAAAAAATGTGTCTTCATTTTAACATTCAGCAATAAATCCCCTTCTCTTCATGTCCATCATTCTTGGAATATGCTAGATGATTTTTTGCAAGTTTTATCAAAAACATACTACTTGTAAAAGAAGAGAAATCCAAAACCACCCCTTCATATGGAAAATAAAACTTTATTCCTACCATTTTGAAACAGTCCTGTTATCTTTGTAATGAACTTAAAAAACCCTGTTGTTTCTTCTTTTGATTCACAGATGACTGGAATCTGTTATTGCTTTTTTGCGCTAAAATCAAGATGAACTACTGCTACTGAAAGAGCCCACTAGAGGGCAGAATCATATCCATTATTTGGATGATAGTGACATCTCTGTGTTCACTACTGAACAAAATTTATTTTATACATAGCAGATTACATCCAATATTTCACATTAGTACTAAATATTTCTAGGAAAATGATTCAGTGTGATTGTATGATCATGTGTTTTTACTCAGTGTCAAATAAAGGTTTGTTATAGTGTAGGATAACTCCATTCAGATAGATTGTTGTCATGGCAGACAATGTGACATTTTAGCAGAAAAAGCACAGGTGTGATCAATAATATAGATTATGGCTGTATTACATTTAATTTTGCCACCTTTAGGGGGGATTCTGTTATTGTCACTGACATTGTTGTCACTGACACAAACAGCACGGTAACGAGACAAGGAATGGAACGTGAATACAAGACATTTACAGAGGGACGTATGGGAGTGTGAAATGTGGTCTGTGTGTAAAGGTGTGTTGTGTGAGTATGTTCAACTCTATACAGTCTATGTATTACCAGACTCAATGTAGTCTGGTAATAGGTTTTAAAAAGGGTCAGGGAGGGGGGAGTAAAGAAAGAAGAAAAGAAGTTACAGAGAAAAATAAAATAAAATAAGGAAGATGTTGGTTTACACCAGCAAATGATTAATAAAACAGGGAAGGGACTGGTAATACACACACCCTGAACCACCACCACCAGGGAAAGATGAAATGGGCCACTTTATTAGGTACACCTGTTCTATTGCATGCAATTCAGTGCAACACTTCCAACTTAACATATGTGTTTGGGTAGGCCATAAAGGCAAGGGATGGCATCCCTGGGGTATATTCTGTAGTATAGTCGCTGGTCAATAACTCCCTCCTTTTCCATCTTCTGTAAACAGTCTATAACCTTCTTCTTGTAGCCACTAGCAGGGTTCCTCTTCAGTGCTTCATAGGTGGTGGTGTCACTGAGGAGGTCAGAAACTCTGGTCTGATAGTCAGCTGAGTTTAGGACTACCATACATCTGCCTTCAGACAAAGCCCTTATATGGCTTGTTTATCAGAGAAGTTAAAAAGGATCTTTCACAACCATAGTATCCCAGTCAACTTTAAGCCAGGGAACACCCTGTGGCAAAGACTGGTCCACCCGAAGGATAAAACACCCAGACATAAACAGAGTGATGTGGTGTTGTTAGGTATTTTTAGTCAGATAGATATTGGATAGATACTTTATGTATTAGAAATGTTTAGTGGAGATAGGATGTCTAGTTAGACTGTTAAATGCTTAGTCATGCTTATGAGTTTCTACAGGGTACATCTGGTCAAGGATAACTAGAGAGAAGAGTTGATGACTGTCAGCAGACAGGATGTTTAATATTATTATTATGACGTGTAGAACTGTAGCCTTAGCCATAATATGTTCTTATGTTTAAGTCACGACATGTTTCTAGAGGTCGTGTGAGAATGTTTTTAGCTACACACCACTTAATCAACAGACACACACACACAGATTTACTTCATGTTTTGACTACTGCTATGACCAGCTGCAAAGCTGGCACCAGAGACGTCGCGGTTGACGTTTCTCTGTAGTATGGGGCTAGCCCAACCGAAGAGATATAATGTTGGGTTCGGGGTTTTTCATCTTCCAGCTGCCTGCGTGCAGTTTGGGGGTGCAAGATGCCTGAGCGTGTAATGTTAATTTTTACCTGTGTTCATGGAATAAATCAGCACTGTTTTGTGTGTCCTTGGACGGCCTCGTCTCTCAGAGTCAGTATGGTAAAAAGTATCGGGTACAACAGTGTATGCAATTAAGTGTAGCCAGGAGTGTAACGACTTGTACATTGGTGAAACTAAGCAGCCGCTTCACAAACACATGACCCAATGCAAGAGGGCCAGCTCCAGTGGACCAGAGTCAGCAGTCCACCTCCACCTGAAGGACAAAGGACATTCTTTTGAGGACAATGAAGTCCAGATCCTCTCCATAGAATATCACTGGTTTGAGAGAGGAGTCAAGGAAGCTATTTTTGTCCAAATAGAACACCCCTCACTAAATAGGGGTGGTGGACTAAGATACAACTTGTCATCCATCTACAACTCTGTTTTGAGATCTTTGCCCAAACATGTCCACCAGGACAATAGGCATCGGCCCACAGGTGAGGGTTCAAAGACAGGTAACAGCGCTCACTGATACCGGGCTATAACAACTCAGTCGTTAAGGGACATTGTTGGCCTTCAAAGGACTGAAACACCACGGAGGGGGATAAATATCTCCGACTCAGCGCCAGTCAGGCAGAACTGATGAAGCCTGTTGGATGAGAGGTGAAATGTCTTCGATCTAGAAATCTAGTCCAGTTGATTTTTTCTAAGTTTTTTGAGCTTGCAGAGGATGTTGTAAACAGTTCTGGCTTTTGTATAATCTCACTGCAAATAAAGCAGTAAAACAACAACAAAAAAATAATAATAATTATACCTTGCACCTTTTTAGACCATTGAGAGACTTGACCACTGGTCTCACCTTTTCGCACATGCACTACACAAAGGTCAGGTGTAGTTGTGGCTACCTGATGAATGCATGGCCTGGGGCTTCACACCAATAAAATAAAAGTTAAAAACATTCCTTTACTTGTGTGGCTCACACTTATTTGTAGCTTCAGTGGTTAACTACACAAAACCCCCAGAAAAGGATCTTAAGTACTCAAATCACTATGCAAATATGAATGTAGTTTAACTACCAGCAAGTTACTGCAAAATGTACAATTATATGTAGTTCACTACCTCCGACACCATAAACCAGGTATGCTGCACACAAGGGCACACGCGCACACACACACACAAATACAAATACTGGGAGTGTTCATTTTATAATTATAAGGTTTTAATAACAGCAACAGTTTCAAACATCTATGACATTTGAACAACTTGTGCTAACATATTTGTGTGATTAACCTAACTCTTAAACAAATGTTAACTTTTTGGGAGTTGGTCACTTAGTGTATGACTTCAGCAAGTTCATTGTTCACACGGGAAAAAATAGCCTTAAGTAAAGGTCCTCTTACTATTTTTTCCCCAGAGCCCTAAACCTCTTTCAACAGCTTCAAAGTGAAAAGCTATAACTGGACCTCGAGTTAATGTTATTCTGTCAATTCATGTCTTTTTCCAGGCATATATGACTGTTAGGTATTTTTAGTCAGATAGATATTGGATAGATACTTTATGTATTAGAAATGTTAGTGGAGATAGGATGTCTAGTTAGATTGTTAAATGCTTAGGCCTGCTTATGAGTATGTCTCTATCAGTTTTGCACATCAAGAGACTAAAATTTTTGCCCATTCCTCCTTGCAAAACCGCTCGAGCTCAGTGAGGTTGGATGGAGAGCGTTTGTGAACAGCAGGTGTCAGTTCTTTCCACAGATTCTCGATTGGATTCAGGTCTGGACTTTGACTTGGCCATTCTAACACCTGGATATGTTTATTTGTGAACCATTCCATTGTAGATTTTGCTTTATGTTTTGGATCATTGTCTTGTTGGAAGACAAATCTCCGTCCCAGTCTCAGGTCTGTTGCAGACTCCATCAGGTTTCCTTCCAGAATGGTCCTGTATGTGGCTCCATCCATCTTCCCATCAATTCTAACCATCTTCCCTGTCCCTGCTGAAAAAAAGCAGGCCAAAACCATGATGCTGCCACCACCATGTTTGACAGGGGGGATGGTGTGTTCAGGGTGATGAGCCGTGTTGCTTTTACGCCAAACATAACGTTTTGCAGTGTTGCCAAAAAGTTCGATTTTGGTTTCATCTGACCAGAGCACCGTCTTCCACATGTTTGGTGTGTCTCCCAGGTGGCTCTTGGCAAACTTTAAACTACACTTTTTATGGATATCTTTAAGAAATGACTTTCTTCTTGCCACTCTTCCATAAAGGCCAGAGTGTGGCAGTATACGACTGATTGTTGTCCTATGGACAGAGTCTCCCACCTCAGCTGTAGATCTCTGCAGTTCATCCAGAGTGATCATGGGCCTCTTGGCTGCATCTCTGATCAGTCTTCTCCTTGGATGAGCTGAAAGTTTAGAGGGACGGCCAGGTCTTGGTAGATTTGCAGTGGTCTGATACTCCTTCCATTTCAATATTATCGCTTGCACAGTGCTCCTTGGGATGTTTAAAGCTTGGGAAATCTTTTTGTATCCAAATCCGGCTTTAAACTTCTCCACAACAGTATCTCGGACCTGCCTGGTGTGTTCCTTGTTCTTCATGATGCTCTCTGCGCTTTAAACGGACCTCTGAGACTATCACAGTGCAGGTGCATTTATACGGAGACTTGATTACACACAGGTGGATTCTATTTATCATCATTAGTCATTTAGGTCAACATTGGATCATTCAGAGATCCTCACTGAACTTCTGGAGAGAGTTTGCTGCACTGAAAGTAAAGGGGCTGAATAATTTTGCACGCCCAATTTTTCAGTTTTTTATTTGTTAAAAAAGTTTGAAATATCCAATAAATTTCGTTCCACTTCATGATTGTGTCCCACTTGTTGTTGATTCTTCACAAAAAATTACAGTTTTATATCTTTATGTTTGAAGCCTGAAATGTGGCAAAAGGTCGCAAAGTTCAAGGGGGCCGAATACTTTCACAAGGCACTGTAGAGATGAAAGTATTTTGATTGCAGAAAAATCTGTAGTGATTGGTGAATAATCAATTATCAGTTGTGTACCGCACTCAAGAACTGACCCTACATGACCCTTATGCCCATCCAAAGTGACCCAGATGATTGAAAATACATTTAGCACTACTGCCGGTGTTACCTTTCTGGTGGTGCAGAGTGAACTGAAACTGCTTCCACCACAGTTACATCTTCAATTGGAGGACGTGGCCAAATCCCACGATGGTTTTCACTGTTACCAAAAATGTTGTCACAGTTTCAGTTTCAGTAGCAGTTTCCCTACAGGTATTTCCCACTCAAGTCATTCCTTACATTTCTTGTTTGAGCTGTTTGCCTGGAGGCAACAAGGCTCTGAAAGGATAATCCTTTTTAAGAGGGAGGACCTGCCACTTTAACAGGTTGATCCATGTTTGAAAGACAAAGGATAGTCACTACACATGTGGTGTGCAAGTTTCACTGAACATGGCAGATCCATAACTTGACATTATACAGCAACATGTTTGAAGAGAAGAGTAAATGACTAGGCTTATGCATGTACTGCACAAGTGGCATGACTATCAACATTAAGAGTTAATGATGAAGTTTATTAGTTTATGCAAACCTTTACTTGCATCACTCTCTTCGCTCATCAGGGTGTCTAGTAATTAAGTGTCTGTTCTGGGTGGAGCCTATGAAAACATACCTAAGTGTTCTGTAAGTTTTTTTCATTGTTCACTTCTCTATGCTCTACAGCTATCTCCTCAGTCATTAGGCAAAAGGAGTGACCATCTTGACTGGGCACCGGAGTGAGCGACTCTCTGGATTACATCTTTGACTCTTCTTTTCTTTGTTTCACTTGGAAGTAAGCCATAAATGGTGCATTATATTACTGACATAAGAGAGTCTTCACTTTAAACAGGTAAGTAAAACAAGCTGATTCATTTATATTTCTGCACTCCAAGAGAAAATGTTCTCATCCTGTCAAAGGACTATGTAATGATCTGTAGTAACTCTAATTAAACACAGTAAGAGTATTGTTATTAATATCACTGCTATTGTATAAAGCTCATTCTTGACCATGGGAACTGTAGTTGACAAAACAGTTTTACCTCGTGGTCTATTTAATAGCCGATCATGGGTTGTATAATCATATTACACAACCTTTCCAAGCAGATGGAGTTAGCCCAGTTCTAGATTTAGCCTACATGGTCCAAGTGTTAAAATCTGTCTGCTGATGAAGATCATATGATACAACCAAAAACTCCAGAACATCTGCTACAGTACATTTGGTGAGATTGTTTTGTCAACTTCCAAATTAAGCTTTATCCCCTCTCTTTGTTTTTTTTTTCACCCACACTTGACTTTTTTCTTTGTCTCTTCTGCCCCTGCTGTTCATGAACACACACTTTTTATAGTACAGTTAATGTAGACTGATACAAAAAAGCATTTCTTTTTACACAAATTTGAGCTTTGTCCCAGCTGACATATTGTTTGTGCATTTACAGCTGAATGGCACGGTGTTGCTGGCGTAAGATCTTGATCTGTTTGTGCACACCATGCATCTGCGTGTTCCTGCTGTTTGTCTACATCGCTGCCATGGCGTGTATCAACCTGATTCAAGTGGAGATGCAAAGTGGCCCAGAAGATGTTCATTTTGTGGCCCCAGGAATTTTGAATAACAAAAACTTTGCCCCGCTGCCTACATCTTTCTGGGCGCTACACCCATATGAGGACGCCTTCTGGAACCGTGTCCAGCTGGCTCACGACCGCTATTTCAACCCCATACTGCACCCCAAATACACCAAGAGGGCAATGAATAATAGTACCTTGTATGAGTCCCTGTTGAAGCAAAATTTCTCTGATGTGACTAACCTGACCAGCATCAGAAGAAACTTTGACAAGCTACCACAGCAGATGCAAGACTTTGTAAGGCACATGCAAAGGAGGGACTATCCAACTCTCCTCCGGCCAGATGGAGTATGTGGGGCTGGGGCAAAGGATGAGAAGGAGCCCACTCTGCTTCTCCTGGCCATCAAGACAACAGAGCTGAACTTTAAAAACCGGCAGGCCATTCGAAGGACCTGGGGCCAGGTGGGATGGGTGGCAGGCCGGAAGAGGAACAGCAACAGAGGTGAACAACGTGGAGGATATGTACGCAGGGTGTTCCTGTTGGGGAAAGAAAGCCATGAGGAGCCAAGTGTGGATTCATCTAAGCTGCTGCAGCTGGAGAATGACCATTATGGAGACATTCTGCAGTGGAACTTCACGGACACTTTCTTCAACCTCACCTTGAAGGATGTGCTCTTCTGGAGCTGGTTCTCAGACTTCTGTGGCCAGACTCGCTTCATCTTTAAGGGAGATGATGACATCTTTGTGAACACCCCAAACATGGTAACATATCTCCAGCACCAGCTGATGAAGCCAAGAGCACACAAGACAATGAAAGACTTCATGGTTGGAGATGTCATACGTGAAGCAATGCCCAACCGAGTCAGCGACTCCAAGTACTTCATCCCAGATGCCTTTTACAGGGGCTTATATCCTGCATATGCAGGTGGGGGAGGGGTGGTGTACTCGGGCCTTTTGGCCAAACGCCTGCACAGTGTGTCCAAAGGGGTTCACCTGTTCCCTATTGATGATGTCTACGTGGGGATGTGTATGATGCGACTCAAAATCACCCCCGTCCACCACCCTGGTTTCTTCACATTTGACTTACCTCAAAAGGATGCGGAGCAGCTGTGTTCATACCACAACATCCTGCTGGTCCACAGACGAAGCCCCGACCAGCTAGTAAAACTGTGGGCCGAGCTGAGCAAGACACAGATGCAGTGCTGGGATATGCCTTTGAGGGATGCACAAGAGAAGGGAGACAAACCCTAAGACCATGCCTGGAGATATATGGCATTACAAGATAAGATAAGACAATCCTTTGCTGTCATTGTAACACCTACAATGAAATTTGTGATCTCCAGTCAGTACAGCAATAAAAAAAAAACATAGCATATGAAATAAGACCATATAAAAAAACTTAACCACTAGAATAACAAAATAAACAACAGACCGCTCACACACACAGGCATATTATATTTTAGCAGCACTGAGTGTGGTAACTGCTGTTGGGTAAAAACTATCATTGAATTTAGTGATCTTTGATTTGATTACTCTGAACCGTCTACCTGACGGCAGCAGTTCAAAGAGTGAACGTCCTGGGTGTGAAGTGTCCTTAATGATGTTCTGTGCTTTTTTGAGGCTGCGGGAACTGTGTAGTTCTTCCAGAGTGAGGAGAGGGCAGCCGATGATCTCCGGAGCCGTATTAATGACCCTCTGGAGCATTTCCTCTGAGCCACTGTGCTGCTGCTGTACCATACACATATTCAGTATGTAAGGATGCTGTCAATGGAGGATAGATAGAAGGACACCAGCAGTCTCTGGGAGATGTTGTTCTTCCTAAGCACTAGTAGGAAGTACAGTCTCTGCTGGGCCTTTTTAAGCAGTTTAAAGGCAATCACGCCCCAGGTCAGATCCTCCTTAATATGATCTCCCAAAAGCGGAAGGCCGGCACCCTCTCCACACAGTCCCCGCTGATATACAGTGGAAAGATGTCATTACAATCTCTATGAAGTGGTGACGCTGTATTAACTAGTATTTGTATTATTTTTACTTCATGGATCCTTGTTCTTGGTTTACTGATACTGCATTTAACATTTCAACCTTTTTTTTCTTGGCTAGCTAGAGTGGAAGGAACCGGTTTTATTAGACCACTAAATCAATCAATCAATCGATCAAAACTGCCCTGTTTTTTTTTTTTTCAATTTGCACACTACAAGTACATACAGTGTTGTGAAATGCTGACCTGTGGAAGATAAAAAGCTCATGAACCAAAAGCAGCAGCTGCTCCAGGATTTATTTACACTAACCACTGACAAAACTCTGGGGGTCAGTCAAACAGCCCAAACAATATTATACATTTTCAAGAACAGGTGATACAAATTACATGTACCTTGAAGAGCCTATCATAATATTGTCATGTCAACTGTTGACTGCCATTCATTGTATTGTGAAAACAGAATGCAGAGTGACTAGAGATTGTCCAGTGATCATTTTGTCAGTCACTACTTTTTTAAGTTTGTTTTTCATATAAATCTAAACATGCAAATATGCTTCCAATATGTTAACTGTTTTTGGTAATAGACATCTATGCAATGTATTTTCTTAACTCACCAAGGTTCAATTTTGGTAGTTTATTGTCATGTGGGACAGAAATGAATGAGAAAAAGAGAGAACAATTAAAAGCACTACAGAATACAACAGAAATTGGCCAGTAGTAATGTAAAATGTACATAACTTGGAAGAAAAGCAACACTATGGAACTGGTGCTGAAAAGCAGGTACCAAGGCTACAAGTGACAAGTTTGAGAATACTACTAAAATTCTTTTTAGCATGTACTGTACCTAGAGTTTGGCCAACTGATCTGATTCATAGAAAAATACAGTATATATGAGTATTATCTGCATAGCAATGTAAATTTATGCCGTTTCCTGATGATATTACCTAAAAGGAGCATGTGAAGAGAGCTGGACCTAACACAGAGCCCTGTGGAACACCATGACTAGCTTTAGTGTACATAGAAGATTCATCATTAACATGAACAAATTGGAATTTTTCTTTTAAATGAGATTTGAACCAACTTAGTGTGGTTCCTTTAATACCAATAACATGTTCAAGTCTCTGTAATAAGATGCTGTGATTAATGGTGTCAAAAGCAGCAATGAGATCTAAGAAGACAAGTATAGAAATGAGTCCTTTATCTGAGGCTAGGAGAAGATCATTGGTGAGATTAACCAATGCAGTTTCTGTACTATGATGGACTCTAAATCCTGACTGAAAATCCTCAAATCAGTTGTGCAAGTGGTCACATAACTGCTTTACAACAGCTTTTTCAAGGATTTTAGAAATAAACAGGAGATTGGATATTGGTCTATAGCCAGAACACCTGGGTCAAGAGTAGGCTTTTTAGTAGAGGTTTAATTACAGCAAAAAGCCTGTGGAACATAGCCTGTTAATAGAGAGAGAGTAATCAAATGAAATATGGACGTGTTGATTAGGGGCAAAAACATCTTTGAGCAGCCGGGTTGGGATGGGGTCTAAGAGACATGTTGATGATTTATGTGAAGCAAGTCAGAGAGATCTATGGGAGAGAGGCAGTCCAAGTATAAATGAGGTCTTACAAATGTTTCTAAAGCCACTGGACTTGATGGCACATCTGTGAGCTGTATGATTTGATTATTTTTCTCTAATACTTAATACTTAATAAGCTCATGAAGTCATTATTACTGAGATCTAAGGGATTATGCTCAACAGCACTGTGGCTCTTTGTCAGCCTGGCTACAGTGCTGAAAAGAAACCTGGGGTTGTTCTTATTTTCCTCCATCAGTGATGAATAATATGCAGTTCTGGCACTACACACGGCTTTTTTAAAAATATGTCATTAAACAATCGTTCCAGGGTAGGAAAAACTCTTCTGACTTAGTGGAGCGCCACCTCCTTTCCAGTTTTCGTGGTGCCTGCTTTAGGGAGCGGAGCTGCGAGCTGTACCATGGGGCTAGCCTCTTCTGTTCCACTGCCTTCTTTTTCAGAGGGATCTTCCAAGATTTTTCAATGCTGCTGACAAAGCCAAGCCATTGGAGCTATAGCAGCAGCACTGATCTGGAAATGCAATCAACACCATCAGCACTACAAGTGGTGTTTTTCCATCAGTAGGAGTCAGCCCGCCTTAATCAATCCAAGCGAGCACATGTTGGCCTCCATTTCCATCTGTTCCTAGCAGCAGGGGGTGGTCATGCTGACTCAGGCTCAGCTGGCCCCATTTCTGCCCAGGGCTGAGTGGGGTCAAGATCCGCCTTCAACAGAGCCAGCTCAGAAAACGGAGTCTCTCACTTGGTCTTCTGATGAGGTTTTAAAATAATGTCTACCACAAAACCCTCCATGTTGCAAGCTAATAAGCACCACACTGATACCATGAGTCACATGTGGCTCTCAGCGGTTTGTGCTGCCCCCACAACATAAGTGGAAACACAACCGCGCTGACATTGGAGTAGCTTAGCATGGCCCTGCCAGTCATGACTGGGCTCAGTGAGGCTGACCTGTCCTGAAAGAAAAACATCAAAATGTTACATCTGTACTCAGTTAAAACGCCGTCCATCATAGGGCCACTAACATAGGAAAGGTGTTATCTTCTCACCAAGCCCTGCACTGCTCTCACAATCCTGTACAGTGAATAAACAAGACCAGATATTATTTTATGTAACATCAACAACAATACATTTTTGCAGTGATGTAATTTTCATGAGTGGCAAAATCTATCATCCCATTTGAGAAAATAATGCACTGCTTTATGTTAATCGCTCCATTTCAATACACAGTCAATATACAAACATGTTGGAGTGGTAACAGGCCTTCACCGAGAAACCGAGCAAACAGTCGATCTTATAGAATTTCAAGCCGACAATCCATTGGATTCTTAATCAGTTTCAGTTGAGTGTGAATATCAAAGATTTTTTACATCAGTTTCACAAGCAAGACTTATTTCTGTTCAAGTTCACTCAGTCTGCAGCCATGTAACGTCTCCAACAGGGTGTCAGAGGAGACCTGCACTGCTTCAAATCCTCATCACACCAGTCAGCGGTCACAGCAGCACAGAACTGCCACATGATGTTCACAGCTCCCACGCTCAGCTGTCCGGGTCCTCAGTGTTGCCGCTAGGAACCATTTTCTGTCCTTCCTTCTTTGTCTTCATCTCCTTCCTCACTGTCCTCCTCCTCCTCACTTTCACCACACTGGTAGTTGCAGCGGTTGGTGTTCACAAAGAGGTCGCTCTCGTCGTCTTCAGAGTCACTAGCTTCCTCTGCCTCGTCTTTCTCTTCCTTTTCCTGCTGTTTCTTTGTCTCCGTGAATCCCTCTGGCCTGTAGGAAGTGAGGACAACAGCACAGCACACTCATTACATTTGACACAACACTGTTGGTTGAGTGATGCGTTTAGACACATCTTTGAGTGTGCGCCCACTCACCAGAGCTGTTGCTTCTGCAGGTACTGAATGTGATCTTTGTAGAGAATGGAGCTGATCTCTGCCTTCACTTTCTCTCCTTCCTCAATAGGATCCACAATCACATAATCACCTTAAGGATCAGAAAACAAACAGTTTAATTTAATAACTACCTAAAAATAAAGGTAAGCAGGTCACACCCTTCACTGTGAGTATGAATGTTGACTTTCTGACTAACAGGCTGGAGTTAAAACCTGAGACACTGATGACGTTCAAAGCCTCGCTGGTTCAGGAACTGGTTTGATTAATGAACGAATACACACACACACACCTATATATACCGCAACAGATCTGTTCACACTTTGTGGGTTAGTGTTGGCGATTTGTTGGTTTGTGTGTGACATAGAGGTGCATTTTGTTATACTGCAATTTATTTTGATGGAACCTGTAAGAAAGAAAAAGCTTTCCCCCGTGTGGGAACACTTTGTACACCCCTGTCTCATCTGTACCCTGCGAAAGAGTTTGTGTCTGTGTGCACATGAAGACTCGAGAAAGGAACCTTTTTGTGAACCATTTGGCTGGAAGGCTTCAGGTCTTCAAGAAGCTTCATCTCGCCATCACTAGCTGCTAGTATTAATGAATGAATTATGAATTAGTGAATTATGCTCATTATTTTCTACCTATAATTCTTGTTTTATTAATAAAAATACTTCTTCAATGAATATTTTCAGTAGCAACAACACTGAACTGTAATAGCAGACCTTTAAATCATCACAAAGCACTTTAAAATAGGGTGTACACGCATGATACTCTAGATGTGGGTTTGACTGCTGAACGTGCAAAATTCTGGTTCACTGTGTAATATTTGTAATATTCCTGTTTTACTAGGTTTATCTCTCAAACCAGTTTTATTGGTCTTATTAGTTGTTACTGCTGAATCTATGAACTTATGCTACGCTCTACATTTTCAACACTGCAGACCAGTTTAAAATTGAGTCAAGTTTCCTGCAGGTATAAATATTATGGCAGTTTGTGTAAGTACTATAATTGTGAAAAACATATTGTTGGAGAATACATCAGTAGTCCATTTAAAAGATATCAGACTGATGATATTTTTGTATAGGTCATCTGTCTGGAGTATACCCCACCTTTCGCTCACTGTCAGTTGGGAATGGCTCCAGCCCCTACACTCTGAAGGATAAGGGGATATAGATAATGGCTCAATTCTGAAATGAAACAGTGACTACTCTAAAGTTCACATAGTTTGTGATTAATATTCCACACTTACATGGCATTTCTCTGTGACAACTGGTTTCCTATTCTCAATCCTGAGCTACAGTATGTTGCAGCTATAGCATGTTGAAGTGTTTTCTGCAGCAAATGAAACTGCCCCACCTTGTGAGAAGCCTAAGTATAGCACGTTTCCCTAAATCAATACCTTACCTCTCTTGATCCAGATGTTCTTGCGGAACTTAGTAGGCATGCTCACCAGGAAGGTCTCACCCTGAGCCGTGACCGTTTCATGAAGGTTGTTACCACGGCTACTGATAACCTATTTATGCACAAGTAGGAGTAAGGAGTAATTTGTTGGTGTTTACTGTGTGTGATTCTTTACTATCCACAAATTGGAAAACACTGCAGTTCATGTCTAGCTCACCTTCACAATCTGCTGGTTTTCCGTGGGTATAACAAAGTCCCCGAGAACCTCCTTGACAACGTGTTTGCGTTTAGTGGCCTGCGACATTATAAGTGGTGAGTTTCAGTTTCTTTCGCCAGCTGAGGAAAAAAGAGAATGGATGGTCAAAGTGCTGAGAGATGGGTAGATGATTCTAAAGCTTGTTTCACTCCAGCAAAAGTCAAAGTTTTGATACCGTTTCCAGACCTTGTAACAAATTAAAAAAAAAAAACCATGTGACTGATGATGTCTGCAGCTTCACACTGGTGCTTCACTGACCACAGTTAAGAGTTTGTATAGTTTTTCAGCTGAAGACAAACATCAAAAGTATGAGAACATTTCCACCCAGTACCAAGTAGCAACGTTATAAAAGTAAAATCACCATTTAATCACAATCACATCACACTACGAGTTATGTCAAATGATACATAGCAACCATAAGCTCTTTCTTTCCCACTGCAATCAGACTCCTAAACAGCTGACTCGGGAACTACCTCATGTAATTCCAACAGTACCGTTTACATACTCAGTTTGCACATGCACAAATTCACACTCACTGCTGACTATATGCACACACAGCTCCCATGTAGCATACATTCTCTCTTCATTATATTGTGTTCTTGCTGTATTATGCTTCTTTCACTTGCGGATTTAAAGTGCCATAAATTTGTGTTACCTACTTATCTACTTTAAATTTCACTTGTATTATGTGACATTCATGTGGACGGCAAAGTAAGAATTGCATTGCACAGGGAAAGACGTTTCTTCACTGTGCATATGACAATAAACACTTTGACTTTGAAATTAAAACACACATCCACGAAGACTAGCTATGCTCGGGAAGCCCACACCAGTTAGCAACTTTGATAAAAATTTCTCAATGATAGCTAGTGAATGCTGGATAAATGACGTCGTGTCATGTTCCCTCGACTTACTTTGCTTAGTAAGACACACGTCAGAAAACACCTTCTTTCCTATTACAGTTAGCTTTATTAGATTTACTTTAGGTTAGCTAACGGAACATTAGCGTAGACTGAAGTTAGCGCTGACAAATCCCCACGCTCATAAATATTAGGCTGTTACATAACTACCTTGAAAAGATGCAAAATAATCGAATACTTCCGTAACGGAAAATGTTTTTTTCGCAGCTTGAAAATCACGTTAAAAAAACCACGGCGAGAGACTTTATTATTAAACCCGAACCACATGCGTTTGTGCTTTCTGAAAACGACAGTGATTTTTACACTTCCGGGGTCAAGTGTTCTCTCCTTTTCACAATAAAAATCGTTTATTTATTTATTTTTTTTTTTTTATTTGTGCAATAAAGGCCATATAGTGAGTTTCTTAGAAATAAAGTTATCATTTCAAATAAATACGTGTGTATTAGAATTTAACTTGTCGACTTACGCATGAATTGTTATTTATTGCCTGACAATATTAGTAACTCACAACTTTATAATACGTATAATAAAGGTTTTTGTTTCTTCATCTAGTTCTTCCGTGGCACCTTTGCATTGTGGGAAATAGAGTTTTCTTTTCGCTCAGTTTGAGCAATGTTCAAGATCACTAGTGTTCTATGGCGATCTTCTTGTCACATACTATTAAAAGTCACCACGGGTATAATAAAATGCTCGTGCTTTTATTGTTGCAGCTCATAAATTGTGGAATGGTTTACCTTTTAATGTTAGATCCTCTACAGACTTCACAACTTTTAAATCATTGGTTAAAACATATTTATTCACTTTGGCTTTTAATACTTAGTGCTGTCTGATGCTTCCTCCTTTTATCTGTTGATTCTGTGTACTTGGTGTTTTTTATGTTCCTATGTTGTTTTATTTTTCTGTTGATATTTCTTACTCTGGATTGGCATTGCCATGTAAAGTACTTTGGTCGACCAGACATTGTTTTTTAAAGTGCTATACAAATAAATTTTGATTGATTTTTTGATTGATTGATAAAATGTATCCTTTGGTGCCAGTTTTTAAGTTTAAGCTATTTTTGATTAAGCCAAATTAATTGCTATATAATCGTAAGTAGACTACAAAATATTCCAGCCACAATAATAACAGTGCACCAGTAGTGGAACAAGTAGCCTACTCAGATCCCATAGGCTACTTAAGTAAAAGTAACAATAGGTTAGTGTAAAAATACTGTTACAAGTAAAAGTCCTGCATGTTAAGTAAAAGTGCAAAAGTATTAGCATCAAAACATATTTACAGTACTCATTATGCAGAATAGCACATTTAACAACAAAGCATACAATATAATTTGTACAACTGACTTTCATTCCTCCTCTTTCCAGAGCAGACCTCCAAAAAATTCCTGTCTGACCTCATCTGTCAACCCACCGTTTTAACACCTTGGAGCTGTTAAGTGAAAAGACATTTACAATAAATATATGCTGAGAATGGGAATGTAGCATCAGGGAAGCTTTCTGTCAGATTAACTGACACTGTTTTGGTGCAAGCAAAGAACACAACCTATCAAGCTATAGATACAACTCAACGACTTGGAAAATTATAGCATGCCAGCACATAACACTAAATGAACATGGTAAACATTATATCTGCTAAACATTAGCATGTTAGGTTTGTCACTGTGAGCTTTAAGAAATATTTGTTCTACTCATGTGTATGGTAGAAACGTGTTCCCTACTTTGCATTATATTCTGCATTTGAAAAAGAAAAACTGAGCAGGCAGTCCACTTTTTGCTCTTTCAGCTGGATGAGTGACACTTTTGCACACTTATGAATGATGCAGTGCAAAATTTGTTAATCAGGATAAGAATCCCTTGATGTCTAAGACCTTTTTTGAGGGCACCCTGGCAAGACGGAAGCATTAAAGTTACAGACAAACTATGATAAACAAGCAGTATACAAACAATATCAATTCAAAACAATATTAGAAATGTAGGGTTGAACAGCAGAATGTTAAACTGCACAGCCTATCCTTACAGGTATCTAAACTGCAGTAGCATGCAGAGAGCCCACAGATAGATTAAAGCACAAGCTGCGGCACCCTGATGTTAGAAAGGATACAGTGGATTATGTAATATACTGTAGACGCTGAAAAATGACCTGAGGCTCCCACACACAAAGCCGTCATCTCAGACGTCGGCGACAGATCCATGAAGCTGAATGGTCTGTCACTTCTGGTATCTGTCTAATTAGGAATCCAAGACAAGTGATGGCTGCTGGTGGTGAAAATGATTCACTTTAAACTGAGGTAATGCTCAGAATTTATTAAGTGTGTGCAAACAAGTTTGAAGGAGGGTCTCAAGAGATTTGAATGTTACTACGGTGGCCTGTTAGCTTACAGCACATTGGACTGACAGATTGCGATTTTGAATGTAAACATGCAGAAAGTTGAACTCTGCAGCATTCAGAGCTGTGACGTCATCAGCGACATGGCTTTAGTCTTCGTGACGTCACCAGGTCTCGCGCTGCAGCTCACCTAAGAACTGCAGCTTCACAGGCAATCAGACCACTTCTGAACTTCAGTAGAGGTACCACGCTAGTGAGCAAGAGAGTTAATACTCGACAAACAAACGTTTAACAACATCTATTCAGTGAAATACTTCGTATTCACGTAAAAAGTGATTCTTCCAGTTAAAAAAATGGCAAGTTCTAGCGACAGACCCCAAAACTGTAGAAACTCAACAGGAATCTGTGCTGACTGTTGTGGATGTCTGATCACACCTCCCTGCTGACAGTGATCTACCCTGGAGGACTTTTTTTTTTTAAAAAAGCTTGTCCATATTAAAGCGCTGTGATTTTTTTTTTCACCTGTGTTTAGGCCAAAGTGCAGATGAAAACAATCACAGTGCTTTAATATGGACAAACTTTTAAATGACTGACATTTTATGTGTCCAAGAAATATTTTTAGTCAAGCAAGACCTGGAGCAGCTAAAGTCTCTGCATAGTGACTTTTTTGGTGCAGGTGAATCCACTACTGACCTTTGGTCTGGGACAGTTAAAGGTGGGATACCTGGTGGTGTTGCCATCTTATGGAATAGGAAATATGACCCACAGATTAAAGTGATAAGACCTGGCTGTTGGCAGACAGATTAAGTGCAGGGCATCTTGAACATACAGTATATACACCCTATGAGTGAGGAATGAGGATGAATCTCTTGTTTGGCATTTGTTATGTCACTTATCCAGGATAATGGATCTACTTGTGTGTATGTAGTTGGAGACTTGAAAGCTGATGTTGGTGACACTCATTCAGTGTTTGGAAACCATCTAATGCAGTTCTTGATATTAATACTATTTTGTTTATTTTGCTGGTTTACTGTTTTGCACATTGAGAGCCGATGTACCAGAGTCAAATTCCTCGTGTGCCCGTCACACCTGGCCAATAAAGCAGATTCTGATTCTGATTCTGTCATGTAACTTGGTAAAGAAAACAAATTAATCAAGGTGGCGCAGTGGCACAGAGGTTAGCACTGTTGCCTTACAGCCCCAGCCAACCCGGGGTCTTTCTGTGTGGAGTCTGCATGTTCTCCCTGTGTCTGCATGGGTTTTCTCCATGTCCTCCGGTTTCTCTCAAACTCCAAAGACATTCATCTTAGGTTGATTGGCGACTCTAAATTGGCCCCAAGTGTGAATGAGTGTGAGTGTTTGTGTATACCCTATTCAGAAATAGTGTAATATTATAATAATATTATGAGATAATATTATATTTGTCATGATTTGGTTCCGCTGCTTCCTGTCCGGATTTATTTTGACCTTACTTCCTGTTTTTGTTTCACCTTAGTTTCGGTCTTTTTACGTTCTTCATCACTCACGTTAGTTTCACCTGCTTCGTTATTGTTTGCACCTGTTTACACTTCTATATAGGCAGCATCCTCCCACCAGGACGCTGCCAGATTGTTCTAGACCCCAGGTCTGACTTTCCAGCATTTTCTTCAGTTTTGGTATTTTGTGTTTCTGATCCCGGACTGTTACCTTGGACTATTCTATTCTGCCTCGCCCACTTGTTACGGACTGCCACGGTGTATGATTATCGGACTTTCTCTTTTGGACTACAAATTTTGGATTCCCCTGGATGTATGTGTTTGCTGGCTCTGACCTGGGACTGATACCGACCGTGAGTTTTGTGTTTCACCTTGTCTTGTATGGTTTTGTTTAGTTTTAGTTCTCTTATTAA